TTTGTGCCTTAAACATGAGCGCGACAACAGTATTCCTTTTTGCAGCCCTTTGTGTTTCCGCCGTGGCTGAGGCGCCCCTCTGGGAACTTGTGAGTACTTTTTTAACGTGAATGCTGTTTAATGTTAAATTTGATAGATTATGTGTTGCATTTTAGTGATTGCAAGACTGAAAATCTTGGGTGTTGTCGAAAGAAAAGTGACGACCAAATAATACTGTCCAAATTTCGTATGTACATGTACAAATAATAAAAAATAGATGTCTTGCATATTGTGGATAGTTTAATAAGTGAATCGCAAGAAATCTTGATTAGTGATGCATAACGATTCCACTTTTCCAAACGTTTCAAGTGAAATATTTAATAGCTTTATACTGAAGGCGAGAAAATTTCAGTGGTTTTCTAAAAGATTTTTAGAAAATTTTATTGGATTTCTAATAAAAAGCTAGAATCTATTAATCATAATGTTAGAAAATCCTATTAGGTTTCTAGTAACATAATAGAAATTTTGATTGCATTTTCCATATAACCTTAGACATTCTGAATATCTAATCTCTTATTCTCGATAACAAGATTCTTTTAAGCAGTGACTTTGTCTCTCAGTAATATTGTTGACATATTCTGAGGATGTGGTTAATAGTGAGGTAGTTATTGCAGCGGGGACATATTGGAGGGAAAGTTCTCTATATAGGGAGTGAGATGTGTGAGTCTGGTGGCATTGACCCTGAGGCGGGCCAACACCACCTCATCCCTTCTATTTGTGCTGTGGGCTGTGTCCCACATCTCGATGTTTCCTCTGACTTTGTTGGTCAGCTGTAGGTCGGTCCACTCGCTTTGCCACAGGATGGATTTTTGCTTTTATAAGACACAAAACACCTGAGATCTGTACAGACTATGCTAAGGTCCAGGTCGGCAGTTGTCCCGGCTAATCTGTCAGCCTGCTCTTTGCCATAGATACCAGAGCGGCCTGACATCCATATCAGCTTGATTTGTTAGCACCATGTAGCTTACGAATGGCCAGTTCATTTTTAGTGGTTTCTAATGATCTAATGGCTTTAAGGGACCTTAGTGAATCAGAAAAAATGATCATTCTATCGTGGGTCGTCGATAGTGCAAAGTCAATAGCTTTATCAATAGCAAAAAGTTCAGCAATAAAGATTGATGTATGATTCGGCAATCTGAATCTCAATTCATTCATTCGGCCACACACTCGCACCTATACATTGCTCAGTCTTGGAGCCGTCAGTATATGTATGAAAAATGGTAGATGTTTAATAAGGATCTCTCTGAACTTCTGGCATACCTCCACCTCCGGCGCCGTGGCCTTGGTTGATGGAAGTCAAGCTTCCATGATAGCAAAATTGGTCGTTTCCCGTGACGCTATATTAGTCTGAAGCAGGGTATCGATGGTAGAGAGATCTATACCGACTTTTTGGATGAGGTCGTGGAATCTTGTGGTAAAGGGCCTATTGGCACCATTACCATTAGGGTGGCTTGTGTCTTGAGCCACCTTCACGGCATAGATCAGCGCCAGCTAGCTGCGTCTGAGTCGGAGGGGAGGTACTCCTGACTCCACCTCAAGACGCTCAATCCTTATACACTTCAGGGCTCCAAGACATCTACCCATGCATGCATTCTGCACAGTATTCAATCCTTTCAAAGTTGAGTCTGATGCCGAACCATACATGATTGACCCATAATCTACTTTAGACCTAACCAGGGCTCCCCATTTGTTTCCAGAAATGCACTTTAGTAAATTTAGTGCTTTTTAACATTTATTCTTTAACTGACCAATGTGGTCTTTCCAATTAAGTTTACAATAAAAAAGTAGACAGAGACATCCTCCTACGTGAAAAAATTACCCCAATACTCTTGTGGAAAACTTGAAACCCCACTGGAGGCCCCAGTTATGAATCATAACCAGTGCCAATTGGATGCAATTTGTTGTGAATGCTACATTACTGCTGGAATGCCGTAATTCACAATCATCAGCATACAGTGAGTATTTAAGATTCCGAGGGGGAGCTGGTGAGATGTCATTTACCATGCACAGAAATAAAGTAGATGACAAGACACTTCCTTGTGGGACCCCGTTTGCCTGGACAAAAATGTCTGAGAAAGTGACAGCAAAAGTTCTGTCAGAAATGAAATTTTGAGTGAAACAAGGCAAGTTTCCACGTAATCCAAAAGCTTAAGGGCCAAGGTCCCTCCCAATATAGGTCAGTGGGCATCCGCAGGATATGTCCACCCCCTGATGTCAACATCCCTCTTACTAGTTACTGCTACAGTCCCAAGGGATATGACCTTGTGGGAGTCACGGCGGGAAATTCTAGGTGTGTGGATGAATGATTAAAACAAATAAAAATAACTAAAAACAGTGTAAAGAGTCAGGAAGAAAAAGAGTGGATAGGCTAGCATAAGAAAAGTACAAGATGCAGAAGGAGAGTAAAATGAAAGGAGAAACGGTAGTAGAAAACGTAAGAAAGAAATAAGGTCAAGTAGAACCAGGAGGCTGCACAATATGTGGTGTATGTATAAGTGCAATCCTGCACAGTCCAGCTCTATCTTTAATAAATACCGTCACTGAGGCTTAATACTTAGCTTTTCCGTTCTTTTAGGATCCTTAGCTGGAGCTGCCGGCCACTTAGGTATAAACTAAATGTAATATGTACTAAATGCCAGAGGATGAGGAGAGAAACGCCCCGTGGTACAGTAGAATAACGAATGTTTATTTCTCGCGGTACAAAGGGGGCCGCGGGAGGCCGTGACGTGAAAAATACTCAACGAAACTAAATCAATAAAACTAAACTTTAGAACACATAAGAAATATAATACATTAAAAGGGATTTTAAAAAAGGATGGATAAAATCATGTATACATAGAAACACTGAGCTGACAGTCGGAAAGCGCAATTTAACCAAGGGGGTTACTCACATGCACATAACCACACCACACGCACTCACACGCACGCACCCATACGCACACAACCACCAAGCGAGCATCATTTGAGTGGGGGGGGGGGTAAATTGGCGTGTCACGCTACATAGGCCTTTTCAATGTAAAAATACTGAAATCAAAATATGCTTTTTGACAATTGCCTCTTGAATATGACTGGCCAGTTTTACTAGCTGATCGAGAGTTTGGCGTCCTTTTCAGAAACCGCACTGCTCGTCAACTAGTAAATTCTTGTAATTCAAAAAATGCAATAGCCTACGGTTAACAATTCATTCCATGACCTTGCATAAGCAACTTGTCAACGCAATTGGGTGGGAGGAGATGGCATATTTGGGATTTCCCTCTCCTTTCAATATGGGAATGATATGGGCGAAGTGCCATGAGTTTGGAAGAGTCTGGCTTTTCCAAATTTCATTGTACACTTCTAGCAATGCTTTATCATCTCATACCGAATCTCATCGGGGCCTGGGGACGCCCCTCTACAGGTTTCTGTAAGGTCTTTATTGTAATTAAATTCATCTATGGCAAAGTGTATGGGTTGCAGCTCAGCCGCTTCCTTGATGGTCAGGAATGCAGGATGTTAGTTGTCTGAGCTGCTTGTATAAGAGAATTGCCTGGCGAGTGCAATAGCGACGTCTCTAGGCGATTCTAAATTGCTTCCCTCATGAATGATGTTTTTAATTTTGAAAGATTGATTTTATTGACGTTAGACCAAACCTGTGATATTTTGGTGTTGCTATTGATTGTAGAGACAAAGCTTCGCCAGATGTCTCTTTTGGCTTGTCTGATTGTTCTATGAGCCCTAACTCTTGCTAATTTATAGTTGCAAAAGTTCTGGTTTGTGACATTATTTTGAAAAGCCTGTAGGCCCTATTGCATTCACGCAGTACCCTGTGGCAACCTGGAACTCTATGCTTTTACGCTATCTGTCGAAGTCTTGGGAATGGATTTCATTGCTGCATCTAAAATAGAATTTTGAATATTGTTTACTTTATCAATGGTTTCTCCAACAAGTTCGAGCTTGACGTTCCTTATGAAGGAGACCAAGTCTGCTTTTTCTACGTTAAATTTCGGTGCTGAAGGCGTTCTGGTTGTGTCGCATGAATATTTAATACAAATAGGAAAGTGGTCGCTTCCCAACAAGTCAATGGTGTGCCACAGGCACTTAGCTGCTACTGTTGAAGAGACCCGAGATTGATCAATAAAGCTCAAATTACCGGTATTATCATCCACTTGCATTGGACTACCATCGTTCAGAAGGATTAGGTCTGAATCATTAACAAGCTTAACTACTTGCTCACCTCTACCATCCACCCGCAGGGAACCCCTTAATGTATGATGAGCATTAAAATCACCTAAAATTACTTTATTTGGGGCAGACTATCCTGAAGAGCAAAGAGCTCATCATAAATTACCACATCAGGTGGACAATAAACTTAACATATAGTCATATACATGCTATTGACTTTTACTTTGTATGCGACAATCTCCAAAGTAGAATCTATAGTCACTTCTGTAAATGGGAGGTTCTGGTGGATGTACATGGCGACTCCGCCTCCACCCTTACCCTCTCGATCCTTCCGACACAGATGGTAGTTTCTCAACGAAACCAATTCATCAGAGATAAAGTTGTTTTAATGGGTCTCTTCGAGAACAATAATATCGGGAGCATAAGACGAGGCTAATAATCTAAGGTCGTTTACTCTAGTTCTAAGACCGACAGTTCCATTGTATAATGGTTAATGCGAAGATTATGTTTTATGGGGTTTGGAAGTGCCTTTTTCTGGGAGGGAGGCGCCTCTTCTCCCGAGCTTCCCGGTGACCTCTCGCGGGAAGACTTGGAGACAAAAGCTCTCTGAGGAGCTGACCAAAAACCAGGCAAACTCTTAACAGGAGTCGCCTGGATGGGAACATATGATCCAGATTGTGATTTGGTATCATCCTTATGTTGCTGCTTTTGTTGGTTTGATTCAGTAATTTGTTTTATTGTTTTGTTCAATTCAAGAATTTGACTTGTTAATTATTTTTCCATTTCCTTAATATCAGCAGTTTCTTTATCCTTAGCTGCAAGCACCTGACTGATACTGCTTGCACTGGGAGTGTTGTTAGTTGCTACTGAAGCATAGGTAGTATTGGGCTTGTTGGTCAAGCCTTCAACTTTCCTCTTGGCTTCATGGTAACTAACATCATGACCTCTCATGTATGCTAATATTTCAGTCTCCTTCAGGCTGCTGCACACGGCAGAGCCTGACTGATTGAGACCTCCACAGTTAGCACACTTGAAAGGGTTTCCAGTACATGTAGTGATGTCATGAGCTCCAGCACATTTACCGTAAGTGAATTTATCAGTATCCTTATCAATACAGCGTAATGAGGTGTGTCCAAATTTTTGGCATCTATTACAGCACATAGTTTTTGAATTTAAGATCTTACTTGGACTCGTTCGTATCCAACATAGACATACTCAGGAATTTTACTTGAAGCAAAGGTCAAAAAACACAATCCGGTTTCTGTTCGCACATTCTCATCTTTCTTGGTCCATTACGCCTTGGTCCTTCATGTTTTCAAGAATTTCACTTTCATCCATCATTCTCAAATACCTATGAAAGACTACTCCCTTACAGGTATATGGGCCAACAGAAATAGTTACTCTTACCTTGAAATCATGAATCTGCGTCAGTTTAATTGCACTTTTACAAGGAAGCTACCATCTAATTTCTTTACCATTAAGGACCTTGATGAAGCAACTGATTTTCATTCACGCATCTGGCAGCCAAATACCTTGCATTCTCTGGAGGGATAGCACGAAGTCGTTCTCGTTCTCAATTGTAGTGGTTCCATTATTCATAGTCGTGGTCTTAGAAGAGTCATGGGTCGCCCCTCCTCCTCTAGGAGTAGGGGTAGCCGGGGGATCAGTCATCATGGGCATCGGACAAGTCCGACCCCTGGGCGCTTGCCCGTTGTCCTGAAAGACCAATAAACCCCTTAACTATTGGTAATCAACCTAACAGCAATGGCTAAGAGAGTGTGGCAGTTAATCGTCCTCTACCCCTCCAGTGGAAGCCTGATTGCGTTCTCCAACACCACATAGGGATCGAGTTAAGTGGAGGACACTTCCCTACCGCCAAACTTCCCGAAGCGAAGGACGGGAAGTAGATGCCCACCCCAAGCGAATACGGGAGCCCACAAGGCTCAGGGAAGTCACATTAAGAGAAGGAAGGAATTCAGAATATAAAAAGTGCCCAAAGGATGCCCCAGACTACTGGGCCTCACTACTCAGGGGTCAATGCCCGTGAGGGCTACCCTGCTGTAGAGAGCTGCAAGTCTGAGGTGGGGTGCTGACTAATCCTACTGTAGTCTCATGTGACCTGCAAGACCAAAGCACTGAAATTTATTCTGTGCAATATACATTATACAACACAGAAACCACAATATAGAGCGAGACGAGAGGCCCCGGACTCTAGGGTAACAAGTGACACACGATTTTTAATTTGTTGCTGCTGCTTTTTAAAACAAGGTCTGACCTGGTCAAGATCTCATACACGAGTATGAGAGCGGTTTTTAGTTCAGTTAATATTCTATAATTAAGAAAATAATGCAGTATGTTTGGTTCTGGCGAAAAGAAGAAACTCGAGTCGCGTAACTGGTTACAGTAGCCGCCAACACATGGTGCAACTACGAAAAGCATTTACAAAGGACTTGGCGATTTTCATTTGATTTGCCTGCTGTACATAGATGTTTAAAAGAAATATTTAGCTTTTTATATTTCAAGAAATGTGCAGTTATTATTTATCCTTGTGTTGAAAGAAGAGGGAGGGCGAATACCGCCTGGCCTCCATAAGTGTTGCCATTTCGATGAAGAGGATTTCAGGAAATCGCATTTGGAAAATATACCACTACAAAGTCGACGATAACTAATGTCACACGTTTTGTTGTCACTTATTTGAGGTAAATGAAAGATCAAATGACATATACTTTCCAAAAATAGGATAATAAGTTAGCAATATACGACCATTATGGCGAACCGCGGAATATCGTATTTGGATCTGAGAACATTGTTTTTGTTATCTTAGAATTATATTAAATTGAAGGTAATTTTTTTTTCATTTATTCATTTTTTATTTACTTTATTTATTTTGTGTTGTTTCGCCCTCTTGCTTTTATGGGTCAGGCACTCTACATCTGTTCGGTAATTATACTCGATAATTTAGTAATAAAAGTACAGTGATTGTGTTCATGCATGGTGCTTGCGATAATGACGGCCAATTGAGACGGTCCTTGTTTCCCTTCCATTCCACAATTCGAATATTAATTGTGAGATGCCGTAAACCTGTTGTAAGGGATTAATTATATATCATTTGTGATGTTTGTTATACAGTGTGTTATGGTTGTGTAAATGAATGGTACTTATAATTTATACTGCTGCGATTATGTCTGTGCCCTCAACACTATGTATAACTCCCCTGATAAAATGCTATAAAATATACAAAAAATAGTTAGGCATATATTGTTGAACAGATTTAGGGACAAAACCATATTTTGTTCAATGTAAGCTTCATTCTTATGAGCTTAGAATACATTTCCTTTTCTATTCTACCAAATCCAAATAAATAGTTCTTATTAAATGATATCCATGAAAGTAATTATACTATTCAAAAGTCGAGAGAGAAGCGTAACCACTGTCGTCCTCACAGAGTCTAAACGGCGTTTGATTAGGGGAAATTAATTTTATTTTTACAGCTTTACATAACAAGTTGCATGCTTTGTAGGTAATAATTTGTAACTTATATGATTAAATTTATTTTCCAGACCCCGATTCCTCCAGTCGAGGTCTCTGGTGAAGGACCTCCTCCTCCTGAGTCTTCCGAAGGACCTCCTCTTTGTAAGTCTCTGTCTCCGCGCACACATACATATACATATATGCGTACATGGTTACATACATGCGCACGCACACATACAAACGTACACCTGCACACATACAAACATACATACATACGCTCAAACCCACAGATACAAGCATAGGCACATACATACACACTAAAACGCACCCACACACTTTGCCATTATAATGATTGCTATATTTGCTGTGGCCATTATTGTTAAAATCGTGATTTTTTTAAAAATTACTAAATACGAAACACAATGGTTGGAAACATAAGGATATGTTGAAAAATGAGAAATTGTCAGTAATACAGCTGTCACTTTCACGCCATGCTATCTGCACTCACACACCACCCAACACAACACACAATACCCAAACACACACTATAATCCATACTCAAAATTAGCACTATTTCACCCTCCTCTCAGCTGACCAGCGCATCGTGGGAGGCAATGAGGCAGAGCCGTACAAGCGCGGGTACCAGGCTGCTTTGACATCAGGAAAAGGTTTCTGTGGGGGTGTTGTCATCAGTAAACTGTTTGTCCTGACAGCTGCCCACTGCATACCAGGGTGAGTACTGATGGTGACAATGTTGATGATAATGATAATAATGCTAATGGTAATATATGTAATGATAATGATAAAATTAATATAGATATTCATAATAATGATAATATAATTATCAAAAATATCAATAATGATAAGAATGATATTGATAATAAAAGTAATAATATATAACAACAACAGTATGCTGGCATAGCCCAGTCCTGTTTCTGCATATGTTACAGCTTATACATTTTCTACTCTTTCTTCTCGCCATAATAATTTGCTCTCCTATCCTTTCCTTTCATTTTCCTTTTTTTCTTCTTTCCTTAGCAATAGGAATGAGCAAATGAATGTAACTGTAGGCATACACGATCTAAAGGTGAAGGAGAAATTTACCCAGCGGATTCCCGTTGCAAAAGCATTCGTTCATCCGGACTATTACAGTGGACGCCAGGGCCCAATTAATGACATTGCTGTCCTAAAACTAGAACAGGAAATTAAGATGACTGGTGCGTTGTAATGTTATTTTTTCGGTTCACGTTTAAGGGTGTTAATGTGCTTGTTTGTGTGTGTGTTTTGCATATGTGTGCATGTGCCTATATATTTATACATTTGTCTATACACGTTTTCGTAAAAGTCAATGAAATAATAGCATTGAGACTGAAGCTAGCATTTGGCTTCATGTCTCTTATTGCTGTGTACGCTTCCGATGTTTGTAAACTTGACGTGAAAGAGATGTTCTACGCCAAACTTGCATCTGTTGCAGACAGTTGTCCCCGGCGAGATATCCGTATTGTTCTGGGTGACTTCAATGCGGAATCTGGCTGTGATCGAGCTGACTATGAGACGTCTGTCGGTCCTCATGGTTCGGGAGCTGATACCGGCAGCGAGAATAGCCTCCTTTTCCAGGACTTTGCTAGATCCCAGGATTTGAGGATTTCTGGTTCCTGGTTCCAGCACTCAGACCCACATTGTTGAACATAGTACAGCAATGTGGGTAATGCAGCCAAGGAGATTGACAACATACTCGTTAGCACTCGTTGGAGGATCCTCCAGAATTGCAGGGTGTATAGGAGTGCTGAGTTCTGTGGTACTGACCATAGATTGGTTGGCTACCCTCTGGGTACACTTCAAAACTCCCCAGCGGTCTAATGATCACCCTAGGGCGTTTCATTTGGACAGGCTGAATCAGGGGGAGAGTGCTTAGGGGTTTGCTGAGGCAATCTCTTGGCGTTTCACAGCACTCGATAATCTGACGGACCCTGTACTTCTGTGGGACACCTTCAAGCGTGAAACACTTGATACAGCCCAAGAATCGTTTGGTGAACGCCCGAAGACAAGACAGAATTTTATCATGGGTGACACTGGAAGATAGATGCTTGCCATGCAGCTCGTCTGACAGGGGATTGGGATTTGCACCATTCTCAGGTGTGCAGAACTCTGTCTCTGTTAAGAAGGGGCAAGGAACAGCATATTAGGAGTCTTGCTGAGGAGGTCGAAGGCCTCTTAGTAAATGACCTTCGTCCTGCATACCAAGCCCTAAGAAATCTCCAAGCCTACTTCACAAGTGACTGCAATTCGCTTAGTCTCAGATCCTGTTGCAGTGTTGGAGCGTTGGACTGAGTATTTTGAGCAGTTGTACCAGATTGACCCACTAACAGTTAACTTGGATGTGGGTAGTGCCAGATTACGTTGCCAGACCAACCTATCAATGAGGATCCATCCTCCCTAACTGAAGGTATGGAGGCGATCTCCAATTTGTAGAATGGCAAAGCAGTGGCATTCCAGCTGAACTGTTAAAGGCTGGTGGGGAACCTATGGCACGGAGGTTGCATGCTGTCCTAGCTGCCATCTGGCGGTCTGGTATCGGTCCCCCTGAGCTATTAAGGGGTGTGGTCATCTCTCTCTGGAAGGTTCTTGCCACATCTTTCTGAGACGTATCAGGAACCACTACTGAGGCATCAGAGGTTGGAGCAATCTGGATTCACTCCTGGTAAGTCCACAATAGACCATATCCTTGCGCTTCGAGTCATTGTAGAGCACCGTCGTGAGTTCGGGCATGGGCTGCTTGCAGCCTATATCGACCTCAGAGTGATTCGGGAATCACTCTGGGAGAACCTGACACTGAGAGGAATTCCAACAAGGATTATTAGACTAATAGCAAGTCTGTATACTGGTACTGAAAGTGCTGTAAAGTGTGGTGGGAGCTTGTCGAGCTTCTTTCCTGTTAGTTCAAGAGTGAGGCAAGGCTGTGTCCTTGCACCAACACTTTTCAACACTTGTATGGACTGTACACGGGGACGAGCTACTGTTCAAAGTCATCGTGGAGCAACTCTGGGCAATATCAAGGTTACAGACCTTGACTTTGCTGATGATGTTGCTATTCTGAGTCTTTGGAAACCTTAGTGGTAGCTCTTGATGCATTTAGAAATGAAGCAAAGCCCTTGGGTCTATGGGTCTCCTGGACCAAGACCAAGATCCAGGACTTTGGAACCTGTTCAGTCAAGGACACTGAGGTCACAGAGAGCTTTACATACCTTGGTAGTGTAGTTCATAACTCAGGGCTGTCAGACCAGGAAGTCAGCAGGCAGATTGGCCTAGCAGCAAGGGTCTCTCGCCAAGAGTATCTGGAGATGTCGGTACCTGTGCAGAAGGACCAAGTTACAGATTTACAAAGCCCTGATCATACCAGATTTGCTATACGGTAGTGAAGCCTGTGCCTCTGAGTCTCGTCTTGATGCCTTCTGTAATAGGTCCTTGAGCCGGATCATTGGGTATTGTTGGCGGGACCACATGTCCAACCAATGATTCCACGGTGAGACTGGCTCAGGACCTGTTATCTGCACAATCCGTGATCACAACTCAGGCTATATGGCCACCTGGCTCGCTTCCACAGGATGACCTGCCCACCAGGTTGTCTTTGTAAGAGACAACCCGGGGTGGAGGAGGTCTGTGGGACGACCGAGGAAGTCGTGGCTTGGGCAGACCGATCAAACCTGTTGTGAGGAGCTCGAGATGGGCTGAGTCTCTACCTGGCAGCTTGCTATGAGGGACCCAAAAGGTGGAAACAAAGGGTGGACGTGGTTATGCGCCCCCGTCGGCGTAAGCTTAGGTGATGAATGAAATACGCTGTCATATATGCATACATACATACATGTATATGCATATGTACATATATATATATATATATATATATATATATATATATATATATATGTATATGTTATACATATATAGATATATATGCATCATATATATATATATATATATATATATATATATATATATATATATGTGTGTGTGTGTGTGTGTGTGTGTGTGTGTGTGTGTGTGTGTGTGTGTGTGTGTGTGTGTGTGTGTGTGTGTGTGTGTGTGTGTGTGTGTGTGTGTGTGTACATACATGTTTAATATATATACATGCATTAAAAAAAACGCATTTCGTTTCCCTTCTCAGATAAAGTTTTTCCTCTCAAATTGCCGACTCATCCAGTGAAAGCAGATACGCCTGTGGTGGTCACCGGTTGGGGAAGAACCAGTAAGTAATATAAGCACTTAATAAGACATTGAATGGTTAATATATATATATATATATATATATATATATATATATATATATATGTGTGTGTGTGTGTGTGTGTGTGTGTGTGTGTGTGTGTGTGTGTGTGTGTGTGTGTGTGTGTGCGTGTGTGTGTATATATCTTTTTACAAAAATGAAGATTTTTTTCTTATATACACTCAAAGTGAAGATCTATATGAAATTAATTTCTTATGATCCCCCCTCCCGCCATTTTTAATCAGAAGCTGAATTTCATATCGTTTTCCCCTCTGAATACCAATCTATTCGTTCTTACCATCACCTGAATTGCAGTGTCGGAAGATAATAAAAGGCTGACTACTCTCCAAGAAATAGTTACCCGGATCATGACTGCTCAGAGATGTAAGCAGCAGGTTCCGTTCGCGGGCGAAAGCATATTCTGCACACATGCAACGAATGTTAGCCCCTGTAATGTGAGTCGCTCTTTCTTGGTCTGATGAATATTTGGGATATACTCTGTCCCTGTCTGTTTCTTTTTCCTTCTGTCTAATTGCCTGCCCGTCTATCTGCTTCTCTCTTTTTCTGC